CAGAGTACTGTAGTTTTCAATGTATAGGTCTTTTACATCCTTCATTAGATTGATTCCTAGGTATTTCATTTTTTGGATGCTATGTTTTTCCCTCATTTCTCTTTCAGTGAGTTTATTATTCATATACAGGAAGGTTATTGATTTTTAAGGGTTGACTTTGTATCCAGCTATGCTACTGAATTTGCTTATTAAATCTAGCAGTTTTTAGTGGAGTTTTGGGGGTCTTCTACGTAGAGTATCATGCCATCTTCAAATAATGGTAATTTAATGTCTTCATTTCCTGTCATTATTCCTTTTCTTTCTCTTGCTTATTGCTCTCGCTAAAGTTTCTAGGGTTATATTGAGTAAGAGTGGAGACAGTGAGCATCCTTGTCTTGCTCCTGATTTTAGAGAGAAAGCTTTCAGTTTTTGTCCATTTAGTATGATGTTGGCTGTTGGTGTGTCATAGATGGCTTTAACAGATTGAGATAAAGACCATCTGTTCCAATTTTCTGTAGGGTTGTTATCATGAATGGGTGCTGGACTTTGTCAAAAGCTTTTTCTGCATCTATTGAGATATAATTTTTGTCCTTGGCTCTGTTAATATGGTATATTACATTTATTGATTTATGTAAATTGAACCATCCCTGCATGCCTAGGATGAATCCCACTTGGTCATAGTATGTAATCTTCTTGATGATTTGCTGCATTCTGTTTGCCAGTATCTTATTAAGGATTTTTGCATCTATGTTTGTTAGAGAGATTGGCCTACAATTGTTTATCTCAGTTGGGTCCTTCTCTGGTTTTGGTATCAGGGTAATGCTTGCTTCCTGAAATGAATTTGGGAGAATTTCTTCCTTTTCAATTTCATTAAAGAGTTTGAGAAGTAGTGGTGTTAAGTCTTCTCTAAATTTTTTGTAGAATTCAGCAGCAAATCTATCAGGGCCTGGGCTTTTCTTTGTTGGTAATTTTTAATTACATCTTCAGTTTCATTGATTGATATCAATGCATTTAGAATTTTTATATCTTCTGATTCAGCTTTGGTAATTCATATGTATCTAGGAATCTGTCCATTTCTTCTGCATTTTCCATCTTATTAGAATATACGTTTTCAAAGTAGGTATAGATGATCTTCTAGTCTTTGCGGTGTCCATTGTGATTTCACTCTTTTCATTCCTAATTTCATGGATATTAGCCTTTTCTTTCCTTTTTTTGGTAAGGTTGGCTAAAGGTTTGTCATTTTATTTAATCTTTCAAAGAGCCAACTCTTTGATTCACTGATTCTTTGTATTTTTTTTTTTTAGTCTCAATGCATTACTTTCTGTTCTGACCTTTATAGTTTCCTCCCTCATATGAGCTTTTGGCTTAGCCTGCTCTTGTTTTTCTAGGAGTTTGAGGTTCACATGAAGTTGTTTATTTGTACTTGCTCTGTTTTTCTGATATGGGTGTTCACTGCTATAAATTTCCCTCTTAGGACTGCTTTCATTGTGTCCCACAAGTTCCAGAATGTTGTATTGTCATTATCATTTAATAGTAGAAACTGTCTAATTTCTTTAATTTCCTCTGTGACTCATTGCTATTTAATTTCCATGTGTTTATGAAGCTCTTGTAGTTTCTTTTGCCATTGATTTACAATGTCACTACATTGTAGTGTGATAATATGTGTAGGATAGTTTTAATTCCTTTGCATTTTACTTAAGCATGTACTAGTATGTGGTCTGTTTTTGAGAGTGTTCCATGTGCAGCTGAGAAGAATGTGTATTCTGATGTTGTGGGGTAGAACACTCCATAGACATCTACTAGGTCCATTTGTTTAAAAGTTTGGTTCAGTACTAGTATTTCATTGTTGATTTTTTGCCTAGTTGATCTGTCTTTTTGTGACAGTGGGGTATTGAGATTCCCCTGGTACAACTGTATTAGTGCTTATTTGATATTTCATGTCTATTGATATTTGGTTTATATTGTTGGGCTGCCATCCTTCAACTTTCAGTCTGTGAATTTCCTTTTGAATTAAATGTGTTTCTTGTATGCAGCATATTGTTGCATCTTGCTTCTTGATCCATTCTGCTAGTCTTGCATCTTTTGGTTGGTGAATTGAGACCATTAACATTGATAATTATAACTGATATTTATTGACTTATTCATGATTCTGATGGCCTTTGTTTTATAGGTGATTTATTTCTTTTCCCTAACAGCTTCTGAGATTCTATTGTGTTGCATTTCTCAAATCTTGACTCTGATAAGCCTGTAGATTTTTTTTATCATTGCTAATTAGAATTGTATACGCCTCACTTACCTGTATGTCAGATTCTTTTTCTCTACCAGGGAAGTTTTCTGCCATGATGTCTGTGAATGGTATTTTTATATCATTTGTGCTATCTCCTTCCTTTCCATTACCTCCAATCTGTCTTCTTCTTTGCCTCATCTTGCAGCTGCTGTATTGACTTCTCATGGTCCCTTGTTATCTTTAAGAAATCTTTCTTTTCATAATCACTAACACAAGCCTGTCTTCTATGTCTGAGATCCTGTCCTCACATTGGTTTAATCTGCTGTGGATACTTTCAATGGAATTTTTATTTTCCTGCATGTATACTTGAATCTGCCTTATGGATTCCATTTCTTTCCTATGCTGAACATTCATGGCTTCTATAATTTTCTTGAGCTCCTCTATTTTTGTCTGTATCTGCTCTAGAGTCACTAAATATGGTTTTCATTGTGAACACCATCTCTGTAGTTATCTGAGAAATTATTTCTGATTTGATTGTTTTCTGGAGCCTCATCCAATTGCTTTCTTGTTACCTCTTCAAAGAAGCTAGGTAGGTGGCTTTGGGATTGTCCCACCTCATTACCCCTTGGGTTTGCCTTTGGTGAACTGGATGTCTGGGGTTGCATCTTGTTCAAGTGTCTTCTCGTTCTCTTTTATTTTTTCAGTTTAATTCCTGAGATGACCCTTGTAAATTGCCTTTAGTGTGTTGCTTTATTACTAGTGTTTAGAACCATTAGGAAATGACTACTTCTCTGAGCTATCTTCCAGGTGTAGCTGGTTTTGGGGTTTTCAGTCTGTTGCAAGATCCTACATCTTCAATTTGTTGGGGATGAGAAGTTGCTGCCTGTTTGGTCCCGCCCCTGATTCTTTGGCACTGTGCCACAGTATTTTCTGTCAATCTCAGTCTTAGAATACCTGGAAGAACAGCTGCTTAGAACAATTGTGTCACTTTTGGCTATAGTGGTACCATCAACAATGCCAATGGCCTCAAACACAGCCTAGAAAATGACAAACTGAGTTAACCATTAATTTGCCACCTTTAACTGTATGAACCAGATTTTTGGTTATACAACAAAATCTAAAACAAACCAGAAAATTATATACAGTATACAAGTCCTTAATATGCCAATTTTGCCCTCAGGGGTTAAATTTTAAAATAGGTCAGGGAGAAAATAGAGATATGGAAGAAAAGGAAGAGATTAGAAGTAAGGCTGGAGGACAAAGGAGGATTGTGCTACCTTTGGGAAACTGGTGCAGAAGACTGGAGGGAAAGAGAAGAGGAAGAGATAAAAAGAAGAACAGAACAAAACTTCACACTCATAAAAACAAGGTCAAACAATGTAGAAAAAAACCCACACAGAAACAAAAAACAAATGAGAGAGAGATAGAGAGAGAGAGAGAGAGAGAGAGAGAGAGAGAGAAGTCCACTTCCAGATATGTCTCTGCTGTCACTGGTAGACAACATGTGGAGGCAAAGTGCTGATCTGCGTTGATTTATCCCAGCGAGCCAGCAGTAGCTTTTTGGGGGGAGTAGTGGATAATCACAGCAAGCCTGCACCTCCTGGATTAGACCAGACTCATTTGGCCTGCAGCCTTCAGTGTGCCTTCCATGAGCCTGAACGCAGCTGAGAGCCACTAGAGGGAGCCCACAGACGTTCTGAGTTCTAAGCTCAGTCGGCCCAGTCCAAGATGGCTCCCAGCCAATCAGTCTGTTGGCGCAACTGAGCCCTCAGCACTCAGTGCCAGCTAGTGCAGTCCTTTACTTCTGGTGCTCCCCTCCACTGCTGTATCTCTCTGTGAAGGCCTCTAGGGTCACCAGCAGTCACCTAGTGTCTACAGGTTTGAACTGCTCCTCTTGAGCAGTGAGTCCCATCTCAAGGAGAAGGCACTCCTAGCTACCTCCTCCTTCTTCATTGAAGTTTCTCTCTTCACTCTCTCTGTGGGCTTCAGTTCATGCTTCAGATCCTTCCTGGGTCCAGGGGACCCACTTCCCTCTTTCTTGTCTTCCTCACATTGCTATATTCCAACCTCTGGTCCATGACACTGAGAGAGGCTCTTTCTGGGCTGCTCGCCACTCCACCATCTTGGTGCTCCTCCCTTCTCTTTCTATAATTTGTCAAGAATGTTATATAAGTGAAGTCATAGGGTGTGTAACCTGGGGATTGGCCTTTTCACTCATAATTCCCTTGAGATTCTTGAGCAAGTTATTAAGTCAATAATTTGTTTCTTCTTATTGCTGTGCCTATGATTTTGATCATTTCCCACCCCAATGTGACACCCACATCCAATTAAAAATCCTTTGGGAGATAATCTTCAAGCATCTTTTACTCTAAGAGATGAAATATGATTTGGGGAAGTGTTTGTTGTTTTAGATTCCACATGTAAGTGAGATCATATCATGTTTATCTTTCTGTGACTGACTTATTCTACTTAACGTATTATACTGTAGATTCATCTGTGTTTTGGTTAATGACAAGATTCCCTTCTTTTTAAAGGCTGACATATATATGTGTGTGTATATATATATACACATACACACACACACACACACACACACACACATATATTCAATCACACTGTAGCCGTTCATCAGTTGATAAACACCTAGGTTCATGTATGTGAGAGAGGTGAGACACTGCAAGTTTTCTAGGCTTATACAAACATGCTTGGCTTGTCTCCCCCCAAAAGTGACTAATGGGGTTGTTTTTCCTGTAGCTTCGGTTGAAACTTCTTTTTTGTGTTCCTTCTTCTCCAGGAGCACATCTACAAGCTGATGAAAAGTGACAGTTATGCCCGCTTCCTCCGGTCCAATGCTTACCAGGACCTGCTGCTGGCCAAGAAGAAGGTATCTTTGGGCAAAGCAGGCTTGCCTTTCTCAGCACTTTCCACTCTTGCCTGCTGCTTGCTGCTGGTGTGAAATGAGAATATCATCCCTTGGGTTTTATTTATTTTCTCTTTTCTCCTTTCCTTTCTCTATCTGCTCCCCTCCAAGGGAAAACAGTGAGGATTATCACCAGCCCAGCCCTCCCCTAAGGTCCGGGTCTATGTCCCCATTGCCTCCCTCTGCATGCTTTGCCCATTGGGAAGGGCATATGAGCAAACACTTCATCCACAGTTGCTCAGCACAGAAGGAAATCCTTTAGGACACCAAAGGATCCTTCACTGCAAAATCCAACCCTCTCCTCGCAGACCTCCTTTCCCTGAGCAGTTTAGAGATGACTGTGAGGCAAGGGTTGGGACACCCCTCCACTGGACAGAAGACCTCATCAGTTCCAGGGGGTCCACCTGGTATCTGGAGTCGTGCCCAGGATTGGTCCCTCTTTAACGCATCCTTGCTCGCCCTCACCTGCCCCACAGTGTTTCCCTTTTCTTTCAGCCAAAAAGTATCCACCCAGCTCCTTCCTCCTCCTCCAGCTAGAATGGAGTCATGGCTCCCTGCAGCTCTTGGAGTCATGGGCCTGGGCTCCTGGGGACCCCCGACATGTAGGTGATGAAGGTGACTGAAGCAGGAAAGCCTCAGCTGGGTTTCTGAAGGGAGGGAAGAAAGAGTAGGGCGGGGAATGGGGCTGGCAAAGGAGAGCCAAGAGACAGAGCTTGTGACTCCAGAATGCCTGCCCACCCCCCATACTTCCCATCTCCCATCCAAGGCCCAGGTAGGTTACAGGGGGCTCGAGCTGCAAATTCCATGATTTCTAGGCCATGCCACTTAGGAACACACGGATCCCTTTTCTTCCCCCCTGTCGGCTTCTCAACTCCAGTCCCAAGTACGTGATTGTCCACCCACAGGCTCCCTGTTGGGCCACCTCTCAGCTTCCTAACCCGCTCTGTCTTCTGTCGACCTCGTGTGCCAGGAGGTCATCTCATGTGTCTGTGTACATAGTTGGTACCACTATCTCCAGAGCCTAGGAGAGCATCTCTGTCCTGCCTGCTGCCTTCGGTATCCCCAGAAGAGCTTTACTAGTGTGAGAAGGAGCAAAGGACTTGAGGAATGTCAAGATTGTCAGAATCCCAGCACTCTTCTTTCCTATATCCCTCCTTCACGTGTAGTTCTTGAATGGAAAATGTGGCACCTGGTTTCTTGCAAACTCCCTTGCTGCAGGATGGCAGTAAATCCAGGTCTTCATGGAAGGGGGAGCTACAAATTACCCCCACAAATTAGTCTGATGCCCATTTTTTGAGAACTGGGGGAAGAGCCATGTTATGGAACTCTAGTCCAGATCTCAGAGAGAAGTTCAAAGTAAGTTCTTGTTATGATTCAAGTCACCTGAAGTCATCATAGTTTGGGAACATTCCAAGGCAATTGAATCAGTCTGGGCTTTGCCTGTGTATCTGCAGGAGGAGAAGTCTGAGACCTCCCTGTAGGTGTGAACACCAGGGAAGATGCGCTCCCACCCAGGACATGGGCTGAGCTGCCTGAGCCTATGGCTCCTCCCTACAAAAGGAAAATTCAGGGGAGGTCAGTTGAGGGAGAGGAACCAACAGCCTTCCTGAGAACTGTGACAAGCAAAGTTCACAATTTTCCTCCCAGCCCTTAAATTAAGGGATATTCTTAAGGCAAAAAGCCCTTTCGGATGCCAACAACCTTTCAATATTGAAGGAGTTGCTTCCCCAAACAGTGACGAAACCTACTTTTCCTTCCATTGCTTCTTGAGGGGCTCCAGGCGCAGATGGGATTTGTAACTCAGCACCTTTAAGCAGGCGTAGAGCATCTTCTGGTTTCAAAGGTGGGCTCGCTATTTGATATTAAAGTCCAGATCATAAAAGGCAAGGGAGATCCACAGCCTCCAGCCAAGAGAATATGAATTGGCCTGTGGCTCCTGCTGAGAGCAGCCCCTGATGGTCTCTAAAAGCACAACTTTCTAATTCTTTTTCTCTTATTCTTCCCCTTTTCTGATATTTTCAGAGGAAATGGTAGTTGCTCTGAAAAACCAAATTTTCACAGGGTAGGTGAGATGGTTTGGGGAGCTACTCCAGAAAAATTAAGTGCTAATGATGATGAGATTCCAGGGTAACTCCAGGGTCTGTTTAAGGCCAATGTCTGCTCTCTATGAGTAGCAATTTGGTGACCAGGCAATGAGAATAACAGGCACAGAATACTGGATCTTGGACTGGCCTGACTTGAACTAAATCTGTGCCACACTGGCTGTCCACGGGATTAAAGTCAAACCCTGCCATCCCTGGAATGGAGTCCTGGTATGTTCCCGGGGCCAAGCAAGCATCCTTCAATTCCTTGTACGAGGAAAAGCCAAGCCCCGCTCTGTGGTATGTCATCCATGTTGTGTTTTCCTCTGCGACCTCATGTCCGTCTTCCATCAGCTAGCTGAGCAGGTGGGGTCGTGGCTGTCAAGGAAGTCCTCCAACTTTACCCACTCCAGCAGATGGCTGCCTTTGGCCTGCCCCTCTGCTCCTAGCACATCCTGCAGACCGTAGACACCTGGCTGCTTCTCCAGTCCCAAGCTGCTGTTGTCTGCTGGGTACATGTGTGTCCACGCAAGTATGTGTGCTCTCCCAGCCGTGGGCTCAGGACCCTGGAGCAGGGCTGTAACATAAGTGGGATGGAATTCTACTCTTCCCAGGTAGGAAACTAAGGGGAAGGGCCAGGCACACCTCACACCCGACCTTCCCCGAGAGCAGAGAGCAGCCGGGCTTAGGAGAATGTTCCAGGGCTTTGCCTTCACTTGCCCCTGTCCTGGGAACCTCAGCTAAAAGTTCCCCGGGGAGGTTCCTGAGCCTCCCGCATAGTGAGTATACCTTGGAAGTGTCACCTGCCTGGGGATCAAGAGAGCATTTCCTGTCCAGAGCACTCCCGTGTTCAGAGGCCGCAGACCCTCTGTCACTGCCAAGGATGTGAGTAGACCCTCAGGACACAGGTGGCTAACTTTTCTCTGGGCAGTAAAATCTCAAGAGAGAAAAGGATCCTGGCCCAGACGGGAGGATGAGTCACGACTTCACTAGGGGCGGAGGGCGTGGCTCCCTGAACACCCCGCCCCCTGCAGCCCTAAACCCTGCATGGCTGCCTGGGGCGTCCAGGAAGCACCCACCCAGGGCCCTGCGAGTGAGCACAGGCAGGTGAGACAGTGAGCAGACAGCTGGAAACTAGTGGCTGTCATCTCGCTTAAAGCCCCACGGCACCATTCTCGGCCCCTGAAGAAGCAAACTCCGCTCTCCCGACTGCTTCCAGGAGGCAGCGCCCTTGCTCCTGGGCTTGTTTCCTGTCTCTCTCATTGGCTCTGCCAACAGCTCTGGCTGCTTCTCCTTTCCCGTTTTTCGCCCCATTTGGCTTCTGCGTTTTGTTCTTTAGCTGTGGCTGCTGCTGTTTGGAAACCACGCGTACGCTGAAGACTTTTTTTTTTTTTTGTTCTGTATTTTTCTTCCTGCCTTTCTTCCCCCTAAAGCCAGAAAGTGAGCAAGGCCGTAGAACTTCCCTAGAAAAGTTCACTCGCAGTGTGGTAAGTTCAGTTGGTTCTCTTCCCTCAGCATTTCTTTTGGTTCTGGTTTTCTCAACTTTTTTGTCCTTTTTTTGGTTGTTGTCTCTTTTGGGGTGGGAGGGGTCCCTGTGCTTTCCTCCTCCACTCACCCCCTTTCTTTGGCAAGCGTCCGAAGCTTCTCTTCCAGGGATGGATTTGCAAAAGAGCAAGCAGCCCCCTCTGCAGAAGGTGCACAGCGGACCGCCCAGCCTCGGGCCTGGGCCGGTGCTCCCTGTTCAGGGCTTTGAGGAGAAGGACCCCACTGCTCTGGGGCTGCGTGGTCTGTGCATCTCCTGCAGTAGCCCAGGAGAAGGCCATCCAACGTACCATGAGACAAATTGGCTCAGAGCCATCGCTCATCTCACCAAAAAAAAACAACAAAAAAAAAAAGCCAGATTTCCTCTGTGAACTCTGACAGTCACACTGGTGCAGGGCGCGAGCTGGTGTCGCTATGTGGGTGGCTTCGGCTGTGTGCAGAAAGTGGCTGTGCTGCATGGTTCTGGCGATGTGGTCTAGCTGGTGTGAGCGTTAGTGGCCTCTGCATGAGTCCATCCCTCACAAGCCCCTGTCAGCTCCCTGTGTATGCTGTGACTCGGAGAGGAGGTCAGTGGCCAAGTCCCGGCAATGTCCCCATACTCTCCAGAGACGAGGCCTTGTCAAGCTCCCCAGTCCCTGGTTCTGACAATGAATAGAAACAAGCTATAGGTCCACTGCTTAGGAGGAAGTAGCTTTCCTCCCATGCACAACCATGGAGAAGAAGGGACCCAGAGTGGCACAGGAGAGAGCCCAGAGGAAAAGGTGAGAGCAGATAACACAGCATCTTCCCTGATATGCACAATGGAGATTCTGTACTCCCGTGGTATATGGAACAGTCTAGACCTATCTCCTGTCTCCATGTTGGTCTCTCTGAAATTTAAGCATAGGTCTTGGTACATAGGAGATACTTGTGTAGTCCTTGTAAAATATGCCTACTGTGTGATTATTATCCTTATTCATCCTTGTAGCATAATTCTATGAAGCTGAGGTTGAAAGCAACCTATTCATTTGCCTATCATAGCCAGATGTATTTTAACTGCATTTAAACATTACTTCAGATTCACTAGCTGTAGACATCACAAGAAGTCTGGTAGATGGCAGTTAAAAGAGGGATGCTCATCCCTTCTCTTCTTGGGGCTCCTCTCTCTGTGATCTTTCTTCATGAGAAATGAGAACATACAAAAACAAAGCCTGCTGGCTTTTTGTCACGTGGCTGGTTTGCCAAGGCCATGTGGCATCCCATGATGAGAAGGTGCCACAGACTGTTAGAGGCAAGATGGTGGAACTTCCTCTACCCCCATGATGGTGCCACAGACTGGTAGAGTGCCTCTCTGTCTACCAAGGATGGAGGATATTTAGGAACTCAGACAAGCTGACAGTGTGTTGTGAGGGCAACTTGGCCTCTCAGGTATAACCTGGGGAGAAAAGCAGAGCTTTTCTGTATAAGAAAGCAGAATTCTGACAGCCCTAGTCAGGCTCTTCTAGTTCACGGTGTGGGGCAAGAGTGTGAAAGAGGAAATCTGGTACTGAGACCAGATTCACAGACATCTTCAGGCTGCTTTTTGTGAGAAGTGGGCATCAGGAAAGGCAAGAATGACGAAGCTCTGTGAGGAGCATTTATTGATGTCCTTTTATCCCAGAAGCAGCGTCGGCTCAGTAGTTCTTCAAGATCTGTTAACAAAACAGAACAAGAAAGCACCAGCCCGCCTCCAAGTGGCTCAAGAACACACAAGGGAGAATTCACAGGGATGCTGTCAGAGTGGGCTAACGGAGAAAAATATCCCAAGCTCCTGAGACTTTGGCATTTATGTGATAGAAGACCCAAACTTTAAGAATTACGTTGCTAAATTCCCTGCTGCTTTTTTATGAACAGGAGGCTGTAATTGGTGGTACATGCAGGCCTTTTGGATCCGTGCATGTCCCTGGACTCGTGGGGTAACACTACAACCCTGTGGGTGTGACTAAGTGTGGGCACATGGTCCATGGGTGTAGAACAGTGTCAGGTCTCAGAGTGTTCAAGACTAGAATCCAAGAATTTGGTCTCAATAGCCCAATGTTCTAATCAGATATAACCAACCAATGAATATACCTTGCAGTTTGATATTTATTTTCTGATATATAGATATATAGTGTTCAATTTTCTAAAAGACTTACCCAAATGCTTCACCTACCACATACTGCAAACCATCAAACTAAATAAAGGTCAGCCAGGCACAGTGGCACATGCCCGTCATCCCAGCACTCCAAGAGGCTGAGGCAGGAAGTGTGTGTATTCAAGCCCAGACTGGACAGCTCATCAACTTAGCAAGACCCTATCTCACAAACAATATTTTTGACAATGTTTAAAGGGCTGGGGTTGCAGCTCAGTGTAAAGGCCCAGGGTTCAATCCCCTGTATCCTTTGTGGGGAACGGGATGACTAATATCTAGTTTAATAGCAGTCCCGTGTCGTTGGGAGAGATATGTAAGAAGACCACCCAAATCACAGAGCTAATAATGGAAGAATGGGAGCATGAAGGCAGGCTGCTCACGGATCAAGGACGTGAGGCTGCCTGTCATTTAGGACTAACCAATGGCAGAGCATGTTGATTCAAGCGGCCGGACAGCTCAGTCACTGTCTTGTCCACACTGAACCTGAATCCAGAATTTCTCCTGCAAAACATGTCCATGCCCCCTCCTTTCTTGGCAAAGGAGGAAAATATAGAGAGAGCCAGTTTTTCCTTCCAAGTCTCAAGGTGTGCCCTGACATGGAAGGACTGTCTAGTTAAAACCATGGATGTCCCTGTCATGTGAGATACTAAGGAGCAACTTAAGTGTCTCACGGAAACTTCCAGGGCCATGCTACCTTGAGTTCAGGAGGGGTCCGGCCCTCCCTAGTAGAGTCAGTGCTTCCAGTGGAAGGTTCATTCCAGGCCACCTAGGTCTTAAACGTGCCAAGCAAGTGTCTGGGGATCTGTACTAATCATGTGTCATTTGGAAGAGTAGAATCATACAGCCTGCCTAAAACCCTGCTTATCTCATGGGGAAAGCCCAGGGTCAGAACCAGATACAGTTGAAAGTCCACGGCAAGTTGTACCCAATCTATAGTGAACTTTTATTCAAAAGGGCAAACAGGACTCCCTCCGGAGAGTCCAGATCCTAGGATCCCCAGCTGGCCAAGCAAAACACAGGTGGGCTTTCAGCCCCGCCTTGGCTCTCAGCTGCCTGTGTGCAGAAATAACCCATGCCACTGTACATAGTTTTCTTTTTCTGAGGAGCCCTAGTTTCAGAAAGTGTTGTAACATATGGAAGCATCCCAAGAGGGCCCCGGATGGGGCCTGCAGCCAAATGAATCTGTTTTGGAAAAATCAGATGTACAAGAACCAGCCACCACGGGTGGAGAGCACCACGAGCCTGAAAGGAGAGGGGGACAAATCTAGGGTTGCACAGCGTGCAGTTCGTCAGGGACTTAAGGCCGTGGATGGCAAGATGGAAAGATCCGCACCCCGAGGCAGGAAGAATGGGTCAATTGCTGAGCTAGACAAAGGTGGCCCTTGGCCAACCAGAACACACCTGCTGCTTCTCAAAAACTATTAATATGTCAAATGCCAGTTAAGAAGCAGTCCAAGCATCAGTGGGCAGCCTAAAATGCTTCGCTGACTGTTTTAACCACTTTGTTTGTCCTGTAGGGTTCGGTGTATGTGCCAGGGTCACCTGGCATGCAAGATAGTAGGTGCCACCAAGATGGCTGTAGTCAGGTCAAGCTGGATCCCATCCTGAGCAGAAGCCATTCTTGCCTTAAGTCTTGCTTACTAGAGCGCTTCCTGTCGTAGACAGTGGCTGTGAAATATGAAAGCCACAGCAGGAAACACCTGGCCAGTTATTATGGTTTGCCTTGCGTCACCTTCCATTGCATCTTTGGGTTCTTTGCCGAGAGGCCCTGGGTGTCATTAACTGGGGAGAGGAGGGACTTCTGCTGCTCCGTGCCGGCCAGCCTGCCAGTCTCTGCTGTTCTTCTGGCTTTGTGGTGAGCAGGTGGACACTGGGGGCACAAGGTGGCCAGAACCGAAAGACTCAGCTTCCCGGTCTCTCTTCGATGGGCTCACTCCTCCAGATTCCCCAGAGCTGGCCGTGGCCCGACCCTGGAGGGAGTGAGAGGAAGCAAAAGGGCTCTTAGCCAAACCACGGCTGAAGCAGTGTGATTTTCGCTTTGTGGATGGTGGCTGGCCCTGTCTGGTGAGAGGCTTCCCTTGGGAGAATCTAAGCTCCCCTGCCCCTGTCCACGTACCGGAGCTTAAATCAGGAGAGATACGGCCCCAGGTGACAAAGGCAGCAGCTTCCCGGACACCTCTGCCTGGATGCTCAGTTGAAGCCCCAACGTTGCCCTGGACAGCTTTGTTGGCTCTGGCTTTGAGTCCCAAAGATGGGAAACGGATTTGGCTCCCCTTGAGCAAGCACCAGGGGCCACAGAGAATAGGGCGTTTCCCCTTTGCCCACAGCAGCAAGGGCCAGAGCTGAGGGAGCCTCCGCACGTGACCAGCAGCATCTCTGCCACAGGCTTTTCTGTCTTGCCTGCCAAGGAATGCAGCAGGAAAGTCAGAGGGAGACGGGAGGCTCTGGGAGCCAGCTGTCACTCCCCTCTCTCTCCCCCTCCCTCCAGCCAAGAGCTACTGAGGAGGTCAACAGCTTCCTCCCCTCCCGTGCAGCGCTGCAGGAGGAAACCGCCGGCTCTAGTCCTAGCTGACCGGAAGTGAGAGCTGAGGCCTCTGGGCAGGAGAGAGAGGCCGTGCAGCCAGGGCAATTGGCAGGGAGAAGCAGTTCCTTCCCTGGGGTTGTCTTCCCCTCTTTCTCCTCAGCATTTCACGAGAGGACAGCCAGCAAGCCCTAGTGGAATGAGTCTTCAAGTACTCTGGGCTTGGCAAAGCCTCACAGGGCTTTGACCTCCTTTGAGAAAGTGTTTTTGAGCCT